TTCTGGGGGGGGGGGAGAAAGGCGGTTCAAGGCAAACTAAGTTTCCCCAAACTTCCTACCAGTGGATAGCTCCATTTATCAAAAAAAGTTATCTTTCTTGTTCACGCAAGTCGTTTCTATCTTATTTAAAACTAGTACGTCTCTAGGTTATTTCTGTTACCAAGCCACAAATTAGACAAATAGGAAAAACAGTACACTTACAGGGGTCTGTTTAGAAGAAATTTGGATCCGTTATAGGACCCTTCACAAAATATCTTTTCATAAAAACGGACCATTCACTAAATAATTTATCTTTTCATCGGACCCTTCACAGTTTTGTTTATCTTCATTATTGTTTTGTTTATCGAATAATAACTCCTTCCCGGGGGGGGGGGGGNCCCTTCCCCCGGGGAGAAAGGCGGTTCAAGGCAAACTAAGTTTCCCCAAATTTAAATTCCAAACGTAGTATTCTAAGAAAATATTTCTACTTTTACAAACATCGTGTGTGCATTCTTAGTAATATTAAATCATAATTTATTATTATTATTTTTTTTTTTTGGTAAATAAATAATTTATCAATTTATATTTTTTCATAAAATTAATTAATAGAATATTATGTAAATAAAAATTAATTTCTGGCAATTTTTTAAATAAAATATTATTAATTTAAAATTTGTTTAAGTTTACTTAATGCGTGACGCATTTAAAGTGATACATTACTAAGTTGTGTTATTTAAAATTTGTCAATTGAAATTATTAAAATGTGAGTGATTTTGTTTCCATTATTCGTTCGAAATGAATATTCTGTGTTGAGCAGAATCTTGTATCTATTTGCAATTTAAGAACTTCTTAAAAAGGTTTTTAGCAATTTTTGCAATAACAGGACCTTATTTGCACAAATTCACGAAATCAGGAATTATCAATAGTTTTTTCACAATTTTACAAAAACAGGACCATCCACAAAATGTCTGGACAAGATTTTAAGGTTATATCTTATAATGAACAAAAAGGAATTGCTTAATAATCGAATAAGTTTTCATATCAAATTATGTTCATCTCAGGCCGAATTGGAATGATTCAATAAAATCTTGTTTGTTAATCTGCGTTAATTTTCGTGAATTAACTTTTCACTGATCACTACAAAAAAAAAAATGAATAAATAAAAAAAGTTTCACTTTTTTATTTAATTTTTTTTGTAAATATTAATGTTACAAATTAATCTCTAAAAATTAATGGAAACAAAACGCCGAATGAATTACTAGTCGAATTTGAAGAAAAGAATTTTCTAGCAATGTACAAATTCAATGACGGCAATGTATTGTTTTATTTTAAGCTGCATTTTATCGAAGCAGATAAAATAGATAAAAATATCATTTATTGAGCTGCTGAATTATCTATTTTTTATTTTCGTAATTATCTAGATAGTGTCTATCGCTAAATGCATAGCGATAATTTGTAAAACGTGAAATAAATTATTTCAATCTTTACTTCTGTATGCTTTTGAGTTTTATTATTAAACATTAAAAATGCGCATCATTTCACCACGTATGTTTTAAGCTCAAATATTTGCTTAATATAATTGAAATTAAATCATATTTCCGTTTGCTATCGTAATTTCGTTTTATATAACTTTTTATTTTGACGCCCAATTACGATTCAAACGCTCGTACAAAGTGTTACAAGTCACTATTTAATTCGCAAATAATTTATTATTTAAAATACTCATCATTTAATGATTCTTTTTTTTTCTTCTAATAACATGCACAGACGTTTGCGTAAGCTAATTCTGTAAATTTACTTGTGTTTTGTATAGCTTCAATTTTGATTCCAGGTAACAATGATTATCAAATTACGACTCAAATGTGTAAACAAAGCGTTTCGAATCACTAATAAATTATTAAGTAGATCATGTATTCTTAAATATATAATTATTTTCAAACAATCAATTTCAAATTTAACATCTGTTGTATGCTTTTGGTTTCACTACACAGATCAATCCACACATAATTTAATAATGCATATTTTTAAATATCAAGCTGGTCGTAAGTTAATTCTATACTCGTCAGTGCGTTTTGCATTGTTTTAATTTTGATGTCAAATAATGATTGCTAAATAGATATTCGAAAGCGTGAACAAGGCGTTACGAATCACCGTTGAATACCTAAATTATCTATTCTTTAGTATTTTCATTTTACAAAAGAGTTCTTTTTTCTCATTACATCTGATTATATGCTATGTTGTGGCCTTGGACCCCCCCCCCCTTTATTTTTTTCTGACATTTTTTATTGAAATAGGCGGAAACAATTATCCGCCTGTTGTCAATCGTCTGCATTGTCTATTAGGAAGAAATTAGTGATCGTAGGAGACATTGGTATTACACAACCTCGATTTTGCGACCTCGGTTGTTATATCTCTAATGTGATCAAGAACTTTTAAGTTTTATTTAAATTTTGTTGCAATGTGAATAAAAATATTTATTGAAAATATGGATTTTTGCTCTGTTTTAATATGACTTATCCCTCCTTTCGATCAACGAAATCGTAGTTTATTTTTTATTTTATTACTTTATTTATCGTAGGTTATCAATCGTAGTTTATTTATTAGTTTATTTTTTATTTTGAAACCCAAAAGATATTTACAAGGGTGCATTAGCGTTTTTGAAATGTGCTTAAAGGTGCTTATCTTCGATTTTTGTTTTTTAAAAGCCCTTGAAGGTGCTTTTTTCATTGGGTGTTTTTGAAAAGTGCTTAATTTTCCCTTTTTCAAAATGAGATTTTCCCTTTACTATGCTGATTTTCGCTTCGAATTATGCGAAAAGACACAGTTCGCGATGTTCTATTCAACATTTTCATAATTAATTCAACCCCAATCTATTTCGGCGTATTGTCCGTAACGTATGAAAACGCCATTATTTTTACATGATTCAAAATTTCATGATTTTTGACAATTGTCAAAAGCAATGCCAAAAGGTTTTTATTTTTATTTTTAGTATGACGTATTAAATCGTTTTCTATTTGTTAATGTTGAGTTTTGTATAAAATGAGTCAAAAGGCACTTTTTGGCTTATATCGGACTTTTTGGGTTAGAAATCATTCTATTTCTTTAAAAAGTTTGAAAACTGTTTCTAACATCTTTTAAACCAAAGAAATTGTTTGATTTTTCGCGATTATATGCGAAATATCTATAACCGATTATTTGCTGAGCAAAACACAAATTAGAAAACGATTTCCGAAACTGAACTTTTAAAAACTATCACATTTACAATTAAAAGTTGATAGTCGTGCGAAAAAGAAAATCATTTATATTTTAGAAACCTGAGGAAGGTATTAAAAATATAAAAACAATTTTTTTTATTCTCACGAATGTGTTTAAACGTTCTTCAACATTCATCTTAATTTAATTTTCAATAAGGCTGACTATAAAATTATACACGAGCTTAATTTCTCCACGTGTTCCTGGCAGGGAAACGACTTAAAACAAAAAGGTTCTATTCAATTTCTCCCACGTTTTCTACAGAAAGCCTCTTTCTAGAATCCTCAATGAATTAGGAAGAGAAAAAGAAAAAAAATTCCGAAAGTCCATGACCCGTGGTGTTCCTTCCTCAAGATCTGCATCTTGCCGGCACATTCCCAAAAAACAGGTGTTGTTTCCCCGTGGAAAGCAGGTGAAGGCCATTCGCCGGTTGCTTCTCTTGATGAGATGTCACCAAAACGGTAAGAAATCTTGCACAAGAAGATTGCGTCGTCCCTTTTCCTGCTGCAGAAATCAATGACGCAACTACGAGAGAGAGAAAAATAAATAAATCCATTAATTATTTAGGATACCGTTCCCCTTTAAGCTCTCTTTATAGGTAATTTATAGTCGCCTAATAAGATTATGGTTTCGCCATAATTGATGTTTACTGCCAATTGATTGTTTGCTGCGTTGGGCTTAAGCGCTTGTGAAACTTACGTTCGTGCTACTTTATTTGTAATTGCTACCTTATAAATTATAGGTTATTGAAGTTTGCGATGAAATTCTGGTTAACTTGTAAATGTGTTGATAAAATGATTTTTTTTAAAAAAAACAAGAACTTTTCTAATGGTGACTTTAGAGCTTCACACTGAACTTTATGTCACATTAAAAAAGTTCTTTAAGCAATCTAACTAATAGTCTCACACTTATGTTAGTACACAGACCTCTTAGGCTTCTGTGTGCGTCCACATTTTGAGAACAGCCTTCAAAACTCATTCCTCCAGAGCGGAGATAGTATTTGATTTTTTGTTAAGTGATTTTTAATATTTCTTGTTAACACTAGAAAGACTGAAACTTAGTATATACCTATATTGCCCAAAAGCAGTCCAAATGATTGGATTATGAAAGAATAACTAATGTGTAAAGAAATTTGCTTAAAATTAATTTTTTGTATTATTTACAGTTATATAACAAGTTATTAGTAAATATTAACAACAAAAAAAGCTGTATGTTGTATAAAAAGTCACAAAATTCTAAGAAATTGTGTCATTGTATACATCATTGTTTTTCTAATTGAAATTAAAAAGTAGTCAAAATGACTTCCTTGAGCAATCTAGTGTTAAAAACTATTTCTTGTAAACATGAATTACAACTTCTTGATAACTAACTCTTCATATTTAACCAAGCCAATTTTTTTTTTTATTCAAAATCATTCAGAGCATTGGTGAAAATTAAGTTCTCCCGTTAAGTTTGTCTACTTAAAGAAGCTTAGTAGTGGCTACATTTCGAAAGTAGTTTGTAGTTAACTACATTTGTAACTACCAGTAGTTGTAGTTAACTTCAAAGAAAATGTAGTTTTTTCGACCACTGGAGTTAGCCCAATAATTCAACTAGATTAAGAAAACTAAAGACCCTTAGGAACCAGCCCTTTCGAATTTCTGGGTCTTTTATCGTTAAAGGTAGCAGCTCCGTATTTAAAATAGAGCAAATTTCTACTTTAAAACTCTTTCTCTTTTATTTATTTATTTTGTGCACTGTACTTATATGTGTATATTTTTGTGTTGCAGGAGAATAAACAGAATGGTACTACTTCACCTCATCCAGCAGCTAATGGTGTGACAGTGGTAGAGAAGGCAGCTATAGTGGATGAGCATGAAGTCGAAGAAGAGAGTCCAAAAATCATTGTTAATAAAACTCCAGAGAGTCCGATTATTCAGAAAACCAAAGAAGAGGTATGTTAACTCTGTCACTCCTCAAGACCCTGCCGGTTACGAAAATAAGTCAATTCCCGGGCTCGAATCGTCTGCCTCCAAATGAGGTTCGAATCTAAGCGGTGGCTGGTTCATTCTGTTCCCGACTCCCACCGACCACAATGCTGACGTAATATATCCTCAATGGTACACTGATTCTGGGTTATAATCCCTTCGCCTCTGAGCTAACCGTGGGAGGTTCTCGTGGTTTTTCTCGCCAATGCAAATCTGGGTCAATTCCATCAAAAAGTCCTCTTTGAAGGTTAGTTCGACCCCATGATTGATCCAGGAGTTCCCTTGTCTGTTGGGTTGAGTTCAAAAATAAAAGGTACGGAGTTGAGCGTTGATAGACCTAAACTCAGGGCTGGATGAGCTGTTCAACGCCGGGTATAAAATGAAATAAAATTGGAGTATGGGGTTGGTCGTTTTGCATTAGTTTAGATAGAGAGAATCTCGCTATTTCGTCAATTCTGCCTAATTTCAAGTGTTTCCGTCGGGAGAAATTCTCGTGATGGCTGGTCAGTATATATTATGAGGATTGAGAGTTGCAGTTAAGCGAGCCATACTTAGCATGCAATTATAAATCTTGTTTAATTTAATCTTCCTAGTTTTACTTGGTGCGTAGCTTCTCTTAAAGGTGCTTATTTTCGATTTTTGTTTTTTAAAAGCCCATAAAGCTGCTTTTTTCATGGGGTGTTTTTAAAAAGTGCTTAATTTTTCCTTTTTCGAAAATGAAATTTTTTTCCTTACCATGTCGGATTTTCGCCACCCATTTTGCAAAGCGTGCTTTTCACATTGTTCTATCCAACATTTTCCCAATTCATTCAAGCACAATCCATTTCGGCGAACCGTCGGTCCATAGCGTATGAAAGCGCCAATCATTTTACATGTTTGATGACATACTTGCGAGTCTGCATGTGCATCTACTGAGCTAGTTGCAACTCTGCTGCATTTCGCAAGATATCCTCCATTTCAGCCTTCATTTTTCACCTGCTGATATCGAACCGAAAAATATCTTGATCTTTTTATGGTGGCTAATCAGGGGTCTGTTTAGAAGAAATTTGGGTCCGTTAACAGACCCTTCACAAAATATCTTTTCATGAAAACGGAACCATAACAAAATATTTTAACTTAAAAATGGACCCTTCTCAAAGTAATTTATCATTTTCGGACCCTTTATAAATTTGTTTATCTTCATTATTGTTTTGTTAATCGAATAAACCCATTCCTGGGGGGGGGGGAGAAAGATGGTTCCAGACAACTAAATTTCCCTAAGTTTAAACTCCAAATGTAGTATTCTAAGAAAATATTTCTACTTTTACAAACACCGTGTGCACATTCTTATTAATATTAAATCATAATTTTTTTTTGTAAATAAATAATTGATCAATTTATATTTATATTTTTCATTTATCTTCCATCATATTATTATATTACAATTTATATTTATTCATAAAACTAATTAATTGAATATTATGTAAATAAAAATTAAAATATTATAAATTTAAGAATTGTTTAAATTTACTCAATGCGTAACACGTTAAAAGTGATACATTACTAACTTGTGTTATTTGAAATTATTAAAAATGTGAGTAATTTTATAAATATTCTGTGTTGAGCAGTATAGGGTAAATACCAAATATTTGTGTGTTGCATCTCTAATTTAGTAGCAGCAATTGTTGAGCAGAACCTTGTATCTATTTACAATTTAAAAACTTCTTGAAAAGGTTTTTAGCAATTTTTGCAATAACAGAACCCTATTTACACAAATTCACAAAAGCAGGACCCTGGTTGAAAGAATGTGACTTAACGCTTATTTTATATTCACAAATTGTGAGTAGTTTTTCCACAATTTTTCCAAAAACAGGACCTTTCACAAAATGTCTGGACAGACCCCTGCTAATATAATCAAGAAAAGAGTTCTTTGTCAAAAACTAGTCATTTTATCTTGATCTTGTAAAGTCTTTGAAAATTATTTTGCATTTTTTAAATGTATATAGTGCTGAAAAATATTTTTTGTTGAAAGATTTGGTTACGCATCCTATTTTAGATTATAAAAATCCGAATTTTTGACTTGAACCGGTCAAATTATGTTTGAGAAATAGATGTAAATATATGACTTCTTTGTGAGAATCCAAAAAGCGAAAGTGTCCATTACAATTTAATGTATTTTATTACGTTTTTTTTTCTTCTTTTTTTTTGGATCTTTATTGTGAAATAAACTGTTCAATATAAAACACACTATTGAATATTGTTATTCGATATTTAGGTTCACAATTCTCGAAGTTCCACGCCAATGGACAGCAATGCTTCCATACCAGATTCCCCCCACTCTACCAAGAGTTCTCGCAGCACCAACAGTGTTGGAGGTAACAGCAATCAGAATGGCCCATTAGGTCAATTAGAGGATGGAGTCTTGAACCTCAACATGAGTGCATCAGAGATGCGCCAAATGCTCGCCAACCGGAGGAAAAAGGACCCCAAAAAAGAGCCTATGGATATCAGACAAAAATATGAGATTATACAACAAATGTAAAAACTTTGGGATTAATTTTTTTTTTTAAATATTGCATTTTGCTTTGCACTATGCAGTTTAGGAAATGATTGTTTTAGAATGTTGATTGCAAGAGGGTGCAGTGCAAAATGCATCTTAATCCAGATATCTAAGTTTAAACTTTTGCTTTCATTTTTTTAAATTATTGTTATTAGCATTCTGGTATTGTCATATAAAATCGAATGTATCTTTTGCTCATGTGGTACGATTATCAAATTGTTTGGTTCGTTGAAAATATAACTTTTTATTATTAAATAATGAAATTTTTAATAAATTATTTAATTTACTTTTTTATGTTAGTTTCAAGCTCATTATGAGCCTTATAATTAATTTCAATCTTTATTTTTACTTCTTTTCAATCCTTATCTTGTAAAAAGTGTTTCAAGCTCATGTGATGCTGGTATCATTAAAAATCCTTAAATAGACCGTATTAGAGTTTTCAATCTTTATTTATTTTAATCTTTAGAGTGAAAAATTAGTTTTAACTAATTAAACTAATTAATTTAAAACTAATTAAACTAATTATTACCATTAAAAATCATTAAATCAAATATTTTATCTATCTTCCTATTCAAACTCATATGAAGCTGTTATTAAAAAAAATTATAAATGTTGAATTTTTAAGTACTTTTTTAGTAAGCTCTTATTGATGAATAATTTCATACAAAATTTTTAATGGCCTTAAAAAAATTGCATTCATAAAGTAAATCTTACATGATTAAATTTTATCTCTATAATTAATCTTAACATTTTAAAATGATTGTTCAACTGTTTTCGATTTTGAAAAATGAATGTTATTCATAAAACGTCATATAAATCCTGATCCTAAATTCAAATATTTTTTTTAAAAAAAATGAAATTCACTGCTCACTATTTAATTGTTCTTTACAGATTTTCATTTCCAACATGTTTTCCTATTTTCTTACTGGTTGATTTAATTAAAACGCAGTTAATATCAGTCATAAATAAAAATTATTAGAAATGATATTTATGAAAGCAAAACTTCAAATTTAGTTTCTCTGTTTTTGTATATCATATTAAATTTTTTATTTGTTAAAACTTACCTATGCCAACAAATTAGTTTAAAGAAGCGTAGCTTTAATTTTAAAGCTTTTCACTTGTAAATATATATTGTGTTATTCTTTGCTACACTTCAAGATAGCGTTAACAATTAAAGAATTTATAATCGGCGTGTTCTGTTACGCCAAAGTCGCCAATCGATTTAGCCTTAGAAATGTTAACAACCGTTAAACTGCCCATTTTTTCGAACAAATCAGTTCACAGTTTCCGTGCTGCATAACGATTCTTTATTTAATTATATTTCTATTATAAATTTTTTTAAATATTTCTGCCAGAAAAACTATACTGTAACAGAAGATATTAAAATTTTAACAAATTCTTGATTCATCAATCTGCTTAAAAATCTCACCAGATTCTAATTTCACAATTGAATTTAAATGAATTTTCTCTCCAATAAAATTGTTGCAATAAAATTTTCTGTCGAATCGACACTAGAAAATATTTTCGATTAAAAATAGCACTGCTCAAATTACGTAATATATTGCGTATTATTACATAATATATTACGTAAGAAATGTAATAAAATCAAATATATTACATTGCTTGAGAGAGGGGGGGTTGGAATTCGCTTAATTTTGTTCACAAGGGGGGGGGGCAGGAACTATGATAGTGTTTTGATTTCTGATTTGTATATTTTCGCTGTAAAAAGTGGTGGAACCAAAGCTATCAAAAAAATTCTCATGAAATATTGGCAGGACTCCAAATAAATATATATTTTTAAAGCATTTTACATAACACTAACATAGCTGCCAACGCTACTGGATTTTGCCAGTTTCTCCTGGTTTTTGAAAATTTCCTAAAAGTAAGTTTCTTATAAATTTAAAAAAAAAAAAAACGAATTTAAATAGAATTTTTGCGCAGATTATTGCTTGCTTAAATATTTAAATATGTGATACTAATACATAATGAAGCGAGTCTCATTTGTAAAAATCAGTTTTAAAAAAAAAATTTAAGTCTGTTTTTATGCAGAACTGCCTTTTTAATTTAATTTTAAAAAAATCTTTTAATTATCTTTGATGAGTTAAATGCCTATTACTATTCGAATTTATTAGTAAACATAATGCATTACATTTCATGTTCGTTTAATGTTAATTATAACTGGATAATATTGCAGTTTTTCTGTTTTGATGAATTTAAAATTTCCTATGTCTAAAACATTTATGCACTAATTTTTTTTCCTTCCGGAAACTGTTCAAAGAAGCTAGGCAAAAAAAAAAAAAGGGAAATCTAAACTCTCTTAAGGTTAAAACCGATTGTATGATCTATTTAAATACGGCAACGGATTAAACCGCTTAAACAATATGGAGCGCACTCCTTAGGCTCCTATGTTGGAAAAAAAAGAAAATTGCTAAATTATGTTTGTATAATTTTATGAAAACAGTTGGTGATGGTGAGTTTGAATTACCAGTTATTTTATTAAAGTTTTTCCATATTTTAAATAAAAATTAGGTTGTTGAAATCAATTGGCGAAATTAAAACTTTTTTTGTTTTTAGAACTTTATTAATCTAGTGGTACGTATGTTGTATGTATATGTTATTCAGTGTATGCTTTAATGTTATTCTTTGAAAATGTAGGTGTTCCCCTGCTACCATTAGGGAAATGGGAACGCTATTTTGTTTAAATTTATTGCCTTTTTTTATTATTATTATATAGTAAGGCTGAATGACGTCGGTATGTCCGGTATTTTATTTTTTAAAAATGTATACTTTTTGTTGCTGNCAGTTTTTCTGTTTTAATGAATTTAAAATTTCCTATGTCTTAAAACATTTATGCACTAATTTTTTTTTCTTCCGGAAACTGTTCAAAGAAGCTAGGCAAAAAAAAGGAAAATCTAAACTCTCTTAAGGTTAAAGCCGATTGAATGATCGTTTTCATCTCTTTAAATATGGCAACGGATTAAACCGCCTAAACAATATGGAGCGCACTCCTTAGGCTCCTATGTTGGAAATAAAGAAAAATGCTAAATTATGTTTGTATAATTTTATGAAAACAGTTGGTGATGGTGAGTTTGAATTACCAGTTATTTTATTAAAGTTTTTCCATATTTTAAATGAAAATTAGGTTGTTGAAATCAATTGGCGAAATTAAAACTTTTTTTGTTTTTAGAACTTTATTAATCTAGTGGTACGTATGTTGTATGTATATGTTATTCAGTGTATGCTTTAATGTTATTCTTTGAAAATGTAGGTGTTCCCCTGCTACCATTAGGGAAATGGGAACGCTATTTTGTTTAAATTTATTGCCTTTTTTTTATTATTATTATATAGTAAGGCTGAATGACGTCGGTATGTCCGGTATTTTATTTTTTAAAAATGTATACTTTTTGTTGCTGATCATATATTCTATGAATATATATGCAAACTTTGTAAACTCACAGGGTCACAAAAACAAAGTTTGTTAAGTGAATTGTTTTATTTTTCATATTCTTTTTTTTTTTTAAGTATAAATTTACTAAAGATAATTTTTAATTTCACCAGTGTTTTTTATTATTACTACTATTTCTTTTAGAGTTAATTTCAGTATATACACTCAAAAAAAAAAATTTTTTTTTATTGCAGTATGTGTTTGTTTGAATTTGATTTATTGTAGCCAAAATTTTTCTATGCTTGGCCTGTTAATTTACTGAGTAACAAATTAATTGAATGGGTATTTCATTATTATTACAAATTTATATTAATATTTTGGGATTTATTGTAAATTTTTGTCGTGTAAAGGTTTCTTTATATATTTTTTTTGCATATTCCTTTTAAATTAAATATAATTTTATTTTATTTTTAGTTAATTATTTGGTCAAAATTACTTTTTAACACCTTTATTATGAATTTAGGCTATTTTGTTAAAACTTTATATTTTTATTTTCTGTGCGAATTAATAAAAAAAATGTATATTTTTAATAACGATAGACTTTTACTTCTAAATTGAAACTGAGAATAAATTAGAAGTAAGCTAGAATTATTTGAAATAATCATTCATTGCAGAATTGCCCTTTGTGTGGCCTTAAAAATGCAATATTTTGTTACCGAATTTTTTTAATTAGATTTTCAATATTTTCTGCTCATAAACCAATAAATTTTTATAGAATAAAATGTTATAACACAATATTTTGAGAATCATATATATATGCTGTCATTGGTATTTTGAAATCGTCACATATCATTGTAACAAAGTGCCTTATATTTTGATAGTGATGAAAGCTATTATATTTTAAGTGTGTTTTTTAAGAAAAATCACAATTTTTCTAATTTGGTGATGAAATAAGTTGACACATGAAATTGTTCCAGCAATATTTTATAATGTTAGGGTCCAAATATATTTTTTAATGTCTTGTCTCTTGTTGGAAAAGTTGTGCTGGTAGCCATTTCGGCTATTTTGTTTTGAATGTGTGAAATAAAGTTATGTTCTTGAAATATTTTTACTCTTTAAGTTGTTGTTTTTTTATATGGCCTCTTGTTATTGAACTATCTTTTGTTATCTGATAAGGTGAACTAAAAAGAAGATAAATATTTTAGTTTCGGAACCCTGCTTTTAATAAAAGTAAAAACTGCATAAAAATAAATATTTAAGTGTGAAAAGCGGTTCATGTTAAGGCTGACATATTAAAATAAGTATTCTACATAGTGCGTAGCGTTTTTAAAAAGTGCTTAAAGGTGCTTATTTTCAATTTTTGTTATTTAAAAGAGCTTTTTTTCTTTGGGTGTTTTTAAAAAGTGCTTAATTTTCCCTTTTCAAAAATGAGATATTTTTTTCGTTGCCATGTCGATTTTCGCCACGTATTATGCAATAACGTCCATTTCACGTTGTTCTATTCAACGCTTTAACTATTCATTTCGGCGTACCGTCGGTTCATAGCGTATGAAAGCGCCTATTATTTTACATGGTTGATGAAATACTTGCGAGTAGGTATGTGCGTCTACTGAGCTGGGCTCGGTGAGATTATTGCACTCTTGTGTGCAACTCTGCTGCGTTTTGCAAGATATTCTCCATTTCAGACTTCATTTTCCACCCTCTGCTATCGAACCGAAAAATCTCTCGATCATTTTATAACGGCTAATATAATCAAGAAAGGAGTTCTTTGTCAGAAAATAGTTTTCTCATGATCATCTAAAGTCTTCGAAAATTATTTTACATTTTGTTAATGTATGTAGTGCTTAAAAATATTTATTGAGTTCTTAAAAGGTGCTTATTTTTTGTTGAAAGATTTGCCTACGCACCCTGCTAGAACTAAAATTTTATCTTATAAAATTTTTTTCAGTAATGAGATATATTGTCCCACTGTTAAATACGATTGAATATATTGTCCCAATGGTAAGTACGATTGAGACAGTATATCCCACAAAACAAAATTTCTAAATCTCTGATGGGTGCAATTATTACTAAGAATTTAGACATGGTGTGTAGCGTTTTTGAAAAGTGCTAAAAGGTGCTTTTTTTCCTATTTTTGTTTTTAAAAGTCCTTAAAGTTGCTTTTTTTCATTGAGTTGGGTGTTTTTAAAAAGTGCTTAATTTTCCCCTTTTTTAGTATGTCAATTTTCGTCACATATTATGCAAAAAGCACGATTTTCTCATTGTTCTATTCAACGTTTTCGCAATTCATTTAACCACAATCCATTTCAGCGCACCGTCGGTCCGTAGCGTATGAAAGCGCTAATTATTTTACATGTTTTATGTAATACTTGCGAGTCCGCATGTGCGTCTACTGGGTACGGTGTGGTTCTTTCACTCTCGTGTGCAACAACTCGGCTGCGTTTTGCAAGATATTCTCCATTGAGGTGATTTTCCACCCTCTGAAATCGAACCGAGAAATATCTCTTGATCTTTTTATGGTGGCTTATATAAAGAAGAAAAAAGTTCTTTGTCGAAAACTAGTTATTTTATTATGATCATGTAAAGTCTGAAAATTATTTTTCATTTTGTTTATGTACATAGTGCTTAAAAGGTGCTTATTTTTTGTTGAAAGATTTGGCTACGCACCCTGAAAGGGAAAATGTAATAATTGCGATATGCTGTTAAATTAATTTCTAAACATTGTTTTAACTAAAAGAGATTATATCTAATAAATAGGTAATATAAATATCTAATAAATAGATATTTTTTTTATGATTCTTGTGTTTATATTAACATTAAATAATTATAATATTTAGTATTTTAGACAGCTGCAAACAAGAACTCCATGAGGCAATATATTTTTGAAATCACTGCTTTTACTTCATGTGAAAAATTTAAAACGTTAATATATCTGAAAACAGCACTTTTCACTTTTAATGGGATTCTGTTTTTAAAATTGGTCTTTGCGGTTGCAACTTTTTTGAATTCTTTCATTTATGTTTTGTAACAATACTTTTTTAAAACATATATAAAACACACTATTATTAATAATGCATAATTCCTCTTTCAACAATGCATCAATTACATTGTTTAAAAGAGTAATTATTACAACTTTAGTGTTGAATGTCATTTGTAAAGTTATCTTTAAAGAGAGAAAGACATCTTGTTTTAAGAAATTTTGCAAATTTTTATCATGAGAGTGTTTGAACGAGTTCGGCGTTTTTTCGGGTATTTTTGTTGCTGTTGTGAAAGTAATTATGACGAAGAGGAGGCGTGGTTAACATGGACGTCGATGGATTCTGAGTGGTTCCCAACTGATGTGGGTGAAATTTAAACTTCTTTGTGAGTAATGACTTAAAAACAATGACATGTAAGCAGATGTACTCTGGACTTTTGAGAGTCACTGCAAGGACTAAAAAATCCACATTTCCCCGTGGTAAAGGACTGAAAAATCCACATTTCCCGGTGGTAAAGGACTGAAAAATCCACATTTCCCGGTGGTAAAGGACTAAAAAAATCCACATTTCCAGGTGGTAATAGAAACTTATTATAGTCTCTTAGAGGCTGAAGTGAAAAAACATTTTAATGGTCTAATACAATGACATGTAAGCAGATGTACTCTGGACTTTTGAGAGACATTGCAAGGACTAAAATTATTATGGCTTGAAGATCTGCGGAAATTTACTCTACATCTCGATTTGCAACGAAAAACGGAAGTGTTTTCTACCGAGCATGACAACCTGAGAGAACATTTAAAAAAATGCCTTTCTGGTTGTTGTTCCTGAAAAAGTTTCTCAAAATGATTTTGAAAATGAGTATTGCGACGAGTTAACTCGAACTGAAATACTTTGATTTAATTGTTCTGTATTATATCAGAGCTAAACTTTGTGCTATTGCTTTT